TAATCCATATTTGGATTTTAGTACTTAAGAACAAGTACCAAGCAAGCCCGAGAAAGGGTTCAAGATAGATTTCAAGAGTCTCACAAGCAATTTCAATAGGTATCAAGAGTTTCATCAATAATTTCTATTCACATAACAAGTCCAAACAAGTTTAGACTATCACAAAAGACCAAGTTTCAAAACAAGATCTTAAGAACATAGTGAGCAAGAAATTTCAAGAATCCTCACCATGTATAAAGGTAGATAACAGGAGAATCAGACTACTATATCATTAAAACAGATCAGGAAAATTCATGAAATAAGAATCAAAATCGTGCCTTGTATAGCCTTAACACTCATTTCACCATGGTCCTAAAATCCATTTCATCACAAGGCTTCAATTAGCCCTAGGTATTTCATAAAACCTACGCTCTGATACCATAAAATTTGTCACGCCCCAAAACCAGTGGCAAAATAGATGCCATACATTTGTAAGAGGATCCCACAAATGCACAAGGCTCAGAACTTGCTAAATTTATAACCAACAATCCACATAAACTTAGATCATATCTCAAAATAAAATCTAGCTTACAAAAGAACGATCTATAACTCAAACTACATCCATAATACAACAGCTAGCCTTCTAACTCATCACTCCCCTTCATTTTCCCGCGTCTTTGGTTTTAATACCTAAAATGGTGGACGAGGAAAACTATGTGAAATAACTCAGTAAGTAAAAATATGGATAGCCTTTAATTAAAACTTATAGCATGCCAACAAGTGTAATCAAGTATCAAGAAAAACGAGTACAAGTACGAAAATGAAATAAACGTCTCCTCTATAGGTCATGGCCAGCGTTTATAAACCTATCACTGGCGGGCATAAGATTTGCTAGTACTAGCAGGATAACAAGTGTAACAAGAATGAACTGGTTCTATAAGTAACATGTCAACATGTGATAGCGTTTATAAACCTCCCACTAGTGGGCACAAGTATTACATGACCACATTGGAGACTAAAACAGGCTAGAAAATACATTTCAAGTAAATTCAGGAAAACATGTATAATAAGGAGCAAGTAAGATATGTTAAAAACTTTTATAAATAGGCTTGCTCAACCAATTGAAATCCAACTCAATAAAATAGGATTTAATCATGGTAGTTAAGCCCAAACAGACTTTTAATCCTGCCACCATCTCAAAATCAATAAAAGTCATGGTTCAAACTTACATTTTAAAATTAAGGACGAATCATGAATTTACTTACCTCTACTTGTCGCTATACCGTAAGTTAGGATTCAAGCCTCAACGAGGTGAAGGTGTCTCAGAACCTATTTCATATCAAGAACAACAAGATCACAACATGCCTCATTCAACTAAATTGGTCTTTGATTCTAGCACCAAGTTCTAACCCAAGGGAACAATTTCTCTTTATCTCTTATTGCCATTTCTACCCACCAAAACCTTACTAGCATATGTATATTAATTCATATGCATAGCCATATTTACAAAATTTCCAAATATGACATTTCCAAATATGACAGTAAACATTCCAAAAATTTTCGACAAGGAATAGTAAAACTTTGGTATATGGCAGGAAATGCTAGGCAAAACAGTGCATAATATAGCAAGAAAAATGCAAGATTTTCTGTGCTAAAACAGTGAAGAATACAACAAAAGAAAGTGTAGGAAGGTGTAGGTAAATTCTGGGCAAAATAGAGCAGACAACAACAAGGATAAGTGCAGGAAAATGTAGATAAATTCTGCACCACAACAGGTACAAATTCTTGACACAAACAATAGAAAGTTCAAGACAAAATAGTAGAAGAATCTAAGCAAAAACAGCAGCAAAACTCTAGACAAACACAGCCACCAAATGGAAAATTTTTCTTAAAACAAAACAGCACAAATTCAAGTGTGAGAACTATAGCAAAGTGAACATGACAACACTAGATCTCATACTAATAGTTGTAGAAAAACATCAACACTGCTGCAAGTTTAGAGGCAAGAAAAGCATAAGCAATTTCCAAATTCACCTAACACAACACTGTCATGATCTTTCAAGAAGATAAATAATAGAATACCCATAAATCCTACGCTATTTCCAAAATCTAAAATGGTCAATATTCAACTAAGTCTACCAAAATTTGAGAAAGAATAAGATTGGTTTCGTGCTCATATCTCACTGGAAAATTTTGAGTGAGAGTGGCGATTCCTCCTAAAATGGAAACTCGAAGCGCAGAGATAGTTGGAACTTAAGGGGGGGCCAATGTTTGCTTGTAGCAAAGGGGAAACCCACGGTTGCCAAAGGTGACACGCGACTACAGTGGGGTGGGGGACAATGAGCTACTATATAGGGGATATATGAAATGTGGGTGAAAGGGTTTGGAGGATACAACAACCCAGATCTAGAATTTTGTTCATGATTTGGAGAATTATAAGCCTATTAATCTCTAACCCTCGTTAGGAGAAGGAAGAAAAGTGCTAAATCTCACCTTATTCTTGGCGAAAAGAAGCTAGGCACAAGTTAGGGAACATGGGGGCAAAATTTCTGGTGAAGAGCTAGGGAAACATGAAAAGGCAAAAAGAAAAAAAAATAAAGGCCCGACCTTAGCTCATTTTAATCACCAAATTTCTATCTTTTAACCCCCCTTAGGTTTAAAATTTTTGTTATTTGGCCCCACAACAATAATTTCTCTCATATAAATCCCTAACTTAAATTTTAAGATCCTAGAAAATTTTGGGATATTACAAATATTTAACCATTTAAGTCCTCATGGTTGCAGGATTGATAATGGTTGAATTGAACCAAGGTTCAACAAATTAAGGTGCTTATGGTGGGGATCACTTATTTTCTCTTATTCTAAACAACATTAATTGTCTCTTAGAAGGATCGCTTCATCCTCCTATGGTGATCTCAAACCTTTACATTAATGGTCTATTTGGTTACCACTTTTTTAGAAGGCATATTGAGAGAAGTAAGCACTTTTTTGAAGCTGTTTTGGCCTAGGAAAGTTTTCTTATGGGCATAAAATACATTAGTTGGTATATACTTTTAAGTTAACACTTTACACAATATATTTAGGTTTAACACCATTTGGTCCCTCAACTTTACACTTTGGTACTAAAATTGTCCCTTAACTTTAAAAAGTACTAAAATTATCCTTAAACTTTCATTTTTAGTACCAAAATGGTCCTTTCGTCAGTTAAATGGACAGGTAGCATGTTAACTTGCCAGCAAATCATTTCTTTTATTCTTAACTAATGACATGGGAAAAAAAAAACATAGCTGGACATAATTTTTATGAGTTGGAATTTTTAGTTAATTTAAAAATAATAATTTTTTTTCCATCCACGTCACCAAAAAAAAAGATCTCTTATTCCTTTTTTATGTTCTCTCTCTTTTACCTTCCTTTTTCCTTTAGCTCTGCAAACCCACCTCTGCAAACCCACATCTGGGTTTTCTTCTCAAACTTTATCTTCTTCCTTTACCTGCTCATCCTTCTTCTTTCTTCTTCTCATTCTTTCTCTCTCTCTCTCTTCTCCCTTATTCTTCCTCTCTGAAACTCAGATCTAGGTTTGTTTGAAACCCAGATCTGGGTTTGTCTGAAACCCAGATCTGGGTTTGTCTGAAACCCAGATCTGGGTTTCATCACATCAATTAACAATTTGATGAAGTTGATGGTAATAAGAAAAGCAATACAAATCATTCCATTATATTAATTAAATATAAGCTCCGATTTCAAATGGCGATTTGAGAAAACAGCATCATCGGAAAGGACTTTCTACGACGAAGAAGAACAAACGAGCTCCAGTACAAGATTCAGAGTTCATGGTGCAAAATCTTAGTGCGATTTTTAAGAAAAACTCAGATCACCATGAACATTTAATTTCCATGAATAAGCACAAATTGCCCGAAACTGAAAAGAATAGACACAATGAAAGACCAGAAGAAGAAGAAACTTAATAAAGATAAAAAACAACTCCTTCGGTCTGAGCCCACAATTTCCATAAGCATTAAGGAGTTCGTTTTATGAGCTTTTCTAGAAGCACGATTCTCCAACGTCCAAGCAAGCAACCTTAGATCGGTCGGAGCTGAAGCAAACTGAGGTAAATTGGAGGCGAACCTACTACAAATATTTGATGGAGAATAGGAGGTTGAGGGTTGAGCTCCAAGATCTCGACATGGAGTTCGAAGAACTCGACCTCCATGAAGTGCCTGAAATTCTTAGAAGAGAGTTATGCAACTATAGGGTGAAAATTTATCCTCCATTTCCAACTCAATCTGCCTGCCATTTTTCCTTCTCACCAAACTAGAGTCTAGAACCCAACATAATCTGAGAAAAACCCAGATCTGGGTTTTGAGAGAGGAAGAAGAAGGGAGAAGAGAAAGAGAAAAAGAATAAGAGAAAGAAAAAAGAATGATGAGCAGGGAAAGGAAAAAGATGAAGTTGGAGAAAGAAAACCCAGAACAAAGATCGTTTTTTGGGGGAATCCATGGATGAGGTGAGGAGGAAAAAGGTTGGGAAAGAGGAAGGGGCGGAAGGATGAGAGAGAAGAAAGGAGGAAGAACAAGATGAATAATATAATAATAAATTAGGTAGGTCTTTATTTAAACAAGAAAAAAATGCCACATGGAAAAAAAAGGTTTAAGTACCATTTTGATCCCTCAACTTTTCACTTTGGCATCAAAATTGTCCCTCAGCTTTAAAAAGTACTAAAAATATCCTTAAACTTTCATTTTTGGAACAAAATGATCCTTCCGTCAGTTAAGTGACAGGTGGCAACGTTAAAATGCCACAAAATCACACTTTTAAAAAAGTAATAATTACGTGGAAAACAAATCATACGAAAAGTGATGAAATGGCAATTTTTCTTTTCCACGTGGCATATTTTTTCTATTTAAATAAAATACTCACATAATATAATATAATATATTATATCGTTCATCTTCTTCCTTCATTCTTCTCTCTCATCCCTTCAGCTCTTCCTCTTTCCCAGCCTTTTTCCTCCTCTTCCATCCTTTCTTCCTCTTTTTCCTTCCTCCTTCGACCTTTTTCTTGTTGTTTCTCTCTCCCCTTTCTTCATCTTCCTCTTTCCCCTTCTAGATCTATGTGGGTTCTCCCTTGAGAACTCAGATCTAGGTTCTCTCTCTAAGAAAGAACCCAATTTTTAGTTCTAAGAAAACCATTCTCCATGAGAGCCATGGATCGATGATGGACATAATCGATTGAGCCAAGGATTACAAAGATTTGAGCCCTTCGACATTAATTGCAGGAACCCAGATCTGGGTTGTTTCCATACAGGCTAAGTTTTTTTGCTTTCTTTTTCTTTTTTGGTGTGTGTTTGGTTGCCATGAAAGATTGGTTTTTTGGGTATTCACAGATTCTTAGGAAACAGAATTACAAACAATGAATGGCGTAGGAATTCTTTGACCTTGGTGATGAATTGGAAGGCAACGTCGCGATGGAGGAAAGAATCGAAGGAAGGGATCCAAGTGGAGTCTGGCTAGACAAGGCAGATGCAGAGGGAATCGGGTTTGAGAAAGTTTGGGTCTGTGCTTCTTGGGGATTTTAGTGATGAGAAAGGAGGTGGAAAAAGGAAGGTGTTTTGGGAAGTTAGGGTTAGGGTTTAATAGTGGTTTGGAGAAGATGAGGCGCGGAGCCATGGAAATCGGCTATGGAGTTCGGGTACCGTTTGAGTCATTAATTTTGGTAAGAACAAAGATTTGGGTTGGAGCAAATCAAGAAGAGAGAAGGGTCGAGATTATCAGATAGAAGGATGTTGGACAACACCGGTGACCGTCGGTGGTGCCGATGTGATGTAGGTAATTTATGTGTGAAACCTAGATTTGAGTTTGAGAAAAACCCAGATCTGGGTTTGAGAGAAGACCTGGATTTCGGATGGCCACAAAAGGCACACCAGGATCGCGTCACTCATGCTCTTCGCTTGCTGAGTGAACCATTCATCAGTGCCGAGGAAGAAGCCTGGGAAAGAAGAAGGGGCGAATGGATGAGAGAGACGAAGGGAGGAAGAAGAAGATTAATAATCTAATATTAAATTATGTGGGTTTTTATTTAAATAAGAAAAAATTGCCACATGGAAAAAGAAAAATGCCATCTCATTCAGTTTATTTTCCACGTAATTATTTTTTTTTAAATGTGATTTTGTGGCAAGATAACGTGTCACCTGTCATTTAACTGACGGAAGGACGGTTTTGGTACCGAAAATGAAAGTTAAAGGATAATTTTGGTACTTTCTAAAATTGAAGGACAATTTTGACACCAAAGTGAAAAGTTGAGGGACCAAAATGGTACTTAAACAAAAAAAAAATGCAATCTCATCAAGTTTGTTTTCCACCGTAATTATTATTTCTTTTAAAATGTGATTTTGTGGCAAGATAACGTGCCATCTGTCATTTAACTGATGGAATGACCATTTTGGTACCGAAAATGAAAGTTTAAAGATAATTTTAGTACTTTTTAAAATTGATGGACAATTTTGGTGCCAATGTGTAAAGTTGAGGGACCAAAATGGTACTTAAACCATATATTTATTAAAAACATATTATTTTTTAATTTAAAATTAAAAGCAAACAATTTTAAAGATATAATCATTCATAAAAGATGTAAGAATTAGTTAAATCAACTATTCTTATGTTATATTTTTAATGATCGAAGTAGACAAATGTAAAAGTTATATCAAATTAAATGTGTACTAATTATTTATTGCATAAAAATCAAGAAAATTATAGTTTGTTACTATTTTGTATAAGGTGGTTATAAAGTGAAGATAATTGGTTATAATTGTAATACCTTGAAATTTTGGATACTTATGTTGAATAATTAATTAATTTATGTGTGAGAGGACTAATCTAAAAAGGAGATTTTATTGGGGGACCAAGTTGCCTCATTCTTCAATCTTGGGGACATTGGCATAAAAAAAAAGAGGGTGGGGGGGGGGCTGCACGATCAGATAAAGGGGAAGGAAAAACCCAATTCTCTTTCAGGTTTTCCTTTTCTTTTTTAGGGTTTACCTCATTTCTTCTAATCCAACACCAAATCAGGATGCTATTGACTTCCTGGCCTCTATATGATAGTTCTTCTTCTCCTAATCAAGATTTACTGCTACTCAATCTTTGAATGCCCAGTGGGTGCTCTTTTTGCAACTTTCTGGTAAGAAATTAGCCCTATTATTCATCTTTTCATCCTTGATTTGAAGTGGATTAACTCTAATCATTTAGGGTTTTCAATTTTAGGAGTGTTTCTATAGTTTCCCCCTTGATTTTGCCCATAATTTAGCATCATTAGCTCTAATCCCTCTTTTTTTTGCAAATTCGGACTACATGACCTTGCAGTGGTTTTTTTCCCATAATTCTTTTTGTAGTTATCGGATTAAGGCGATTCTTGATTTTGTGGAAAGCTAAGAGACAACTCTACAATGTATCTGTTGAACATTTAACCTAGTTTAGCTGTTTGCAAGATGAAAACTTTTCTACAACTTTGATTCCCAGACTTAACTAGCAGCCCAACCTTGTGTTAGTCTTTTGGCCACCTCTCTCATTGTAGATGTTGAATTAAGGTAATTCTTAAGGCTATAGAATGCTAAGACATAGGGCTACAATTTATCAGTTGACTACTCAACCCAGATCAATTAATTTCTAGGTGTGAATTTTGTTGGAAATCCCATTTGAAATCTGACCAGAACTTGACAATAATTTACTTTGTTTTCTACTTTATTCTCACTATACCTATTGCCATGTTGCATCATGATTTTACTAGATTTTTAGCTGTTGTTTTCATGCTTTAAAACCCTTTGTTATTGCTTTACCTTGGCTACCTTTTCTGTTGCTTAAATGCTGTCCATTTTTACCAATTCTAGCTTGTGTTCTTCCCTGTTTTGTTGCTATCTTTTTTGCCCAAAAATTCCTGTTGTTCAAGGCTTTTTCTAAGCATTTTGGGATGGTTTTAAATAGCAAAAAAATCCCCACCTTACTGCCCAACTTTTGTGTTGTTGTTTTGGGGTAGATTTGAGCTTAGTTTCTCATATTTTCTGTTGTGTTTTGCCCAGAAAATTTGCTTGATAAACCCATAATATGTTGGGTCTCTTGGAGTTGTTTTAACCATATTTACATATGATTATGCATATGAATAAATATATGTTAGCAAGGTTTCAAAGGATAGAGGTAATGAAGAGGTGTAGGAAGAAATTGTTCCTCAAGTTAGAAACTTGATTTTGTGATTAAAAATCAAATTAGTTACATCGAGTATATTGTGATATTGTCTATCTATTGATGTGGTATAGGATCGAAATCATCTCAACAGCCTCAAGTTTTTTTGAATTTTTTGCTTACTGTATACCAACAAGGCGAGGTAAGTAAATTTGTGGTAATGCCCTTGGATTTTAAGGTAAAAACTTTAAATGCATATTTTAAATTGTTTTTGAAATGGCGACAAGATTTAAACTAATTCTTTTTTAGCATATGAGTATGATTGATTTAAAATAAAGTTGTTAATATGTTTATTGAGTTGCCCATGCCTATTGGGATTTTATTTGATTGTCCTGATGATTTGAAAATTGTTTGTAAATTATGAATTTTCTTGTAACTCCTGCATGGTTTAGTCTCCAATATGGTCATGGTTTACTATGCCCGCTAGTGGAAGGTTTATAAACGCTAGCACATGTCGTCATGTATTCCTAGGAACCGGTTCATCCTCTATTCCTACCAATGGGATAATACACTGGTTACTATTGTGCCTATCAGTGGGAGGCTTATAAACGTTGGCCATGACCTATAGAGGAGATGTCTATTTCATTCCCGTACTTGTACCCGTTTTTCTTGATACTTGATTATACTTGTTGGCATGCTATAAATGTTAATTAAGTGCTATCTATATTCTTACTTATTGAGTTATCTCACAGAGTTTTTTTTTCCTCGTCCACCATATCATGTAGTGAGACCTGAGACATGGGAAACCAAGGGGAGTGATGAGCTAGAAGGCTAGCCATTGTATTTTGGACGTAGATTTTGAGTTGTAGATTATTCTTTCTAAGTTAGATTTTATTTTGAAATATCGATCTAAGTTTATGTGGACTGTTAGTTATGAATTCAGCAAGTTCCGAGCCTTGTACATTTGTGGGATCTTCTCACAAGTGTATGGCATCTGTTTTGCTTTTCACAAGTATACGACGTTTGTTTCGCTCCCGGTTTTGGGGCGTGACAATAATGAAATATAATTGCCTATCAAGGGCAAAAACCAATTCCCTAAAAAAAAATCTAGATAAGTTGCCTTTCGGATTTAATAACGTGGCTTATTCATAGTTGTATATTCATGGTTGTTTATAAAACTCTTGAAGCAATTGTAACCAACTATATTTAAATATAATGGCTAAATTTAATAATTAGTCTATTAATTATTTATTTTATTTTATTTTAGTCTTGGAAGTTAGTTTTCTTTTTAAATAATCTATAAAATTTGTAAAATATTTTGGAATAGCCTATTGTATAAAAATTATATTAGTTTTAATGGAAAAATAACAAAAAAGTCAAATCAAAATCAAAATAGAGTAGTCGAGTCAACAAAACGATTCACAATAGATTGTGCTAGTTAAAATAAGCCAATAATTGTAGTTTCTACTACAAAGAAAAATTATTAAAAGAGAAAGTTAAAGTAACATATGATAAATGTTACAATTTCTTAAACAGTGGAAAAGAATTTGTTATCCTTACAAAATTAGTTTTATTTTAAAATTAATTTTAAAGAGTAAAAATTTACAAAAGATATAGTTAAAAATGAATTTAACCAAACGGAGTGAAACTTTTAGTAGAAAAATAATATACCAAACTAAATTGAAATCAAAGTTAAAGATAATAAATGAATTTAAAAATAATAGATGAAACAAAAAAAAAATACAAAAGCTATTAGATAATTTATTAAATTAAGCCAAATATAACTAATTATATTTTTACATTAAACTTTGCGCCAAAAATGAAATTTTTTGGGCCTTGAGCCAATTCAAAACTTGCTAGCTTCCTCGGAAATGCCTTCAGCCTTCCAAGAAAGTGGTAACAAAACATACGCTAATTGGTTAGGAAAGTTTCCTTATTTAGGAATGTTTAAGTGTATTTTAGTATTATTATACATTAATACGAGGTTAAGGGAGTGTTTGGTTGGGAAATTTTTTTTTAACTTTTTAAAACTTTTTTATAAGGTTATTTTTGTATTTTTACACATTAATATTATAATAAAAAGAGGGTAAAAGTAAAATTTTAAATATTTATTTTCCTTTGCATAATGTCTAACCCATAAAGTTTTTTGTTAATCTATTTAGAAAGAAAAAAGTTTTCCTATAACTTTCTATAAATTAGGCCTACTTAATAACTCTCAATAATAACTTTTCTTATATTAATTTTTTATTAAATACAATAAAATTAATAACTCAACAATATTTTAATAAAACCTTATTATAAAACTTAATAACCTTTCATACAATACTTTCTAACTTTTTATACAAACTTTTCTAATCACTTTTTCAATAAATATCTAATTTAGCTCCTAAACTTTCAATTTAAAAAAATTTTAGTCATTAAATTATTTTTTACATTTCTCTCCACAATTATTGAAAGCTACACTTTTTTTTATTTTTTTATTTTTTATTTTTTATTTTTTAGGCTTCTAACAATTACACTTATTAAATCAATACAAGTGGCATTTTCCTTATTTCTTTTGATATTGTGGCAAACCCTAAATCGAAACCTGAAAACCAAACAAAAAAAGAAAAGATCGTGAAGATGGAAAGATGAGGGATGGATTAAGGAAAATAAGAGAACGGAAGGTTATTGTTGGCACACGCACCATGACCTAAGAGGATGAAAGGAGAACAAAGAAGAGGGAGGTAGAGGAAAAAAAGAGAGGAGGTAGAACGAAGAGAGAGAAAGAAGAAGAGATTTAATGATAGTTGATTTGATTTATAATTTAATTTATGAATTAAAAGGTAATAAATATAATTATAATAAGTGAGACCATTAGAGATGTTAAGCGTGTCTGTGACTTGATTTATTTATTTATTTATTTTCCAACTAAGCTTACTAGAATGTGTTAGGGAGTGTTTCTATCAATGGTTGGTCAAAGAGTGATGTGGCCAACTCCAACAGAGAACACGAGGAGATTTCATTGAAGAACTAGGCTCATCAGTTAGTGTAACTCAAAGAAATGAAATTTTGATTATCAAAACCTTTTCCTCAAGCATTCAATAGTCCCCAAGCGGTAGGTTGACGAGATCATCTTTCCAATACATAACAAAGACAGGACCTTGTTAAAAACTTCATCAACTTGCTTGGCCAAAATTGGCAACTTTTGTTTTGGGTGAAATATGCAACAATTGTCAAAAAGAGACACAATAAATGGAAGAAAAATACACATTCATTTCATTCCATACATGGCAATAAATGCATATTTCATTCCTCTGTCAAATCCTTTACATACATCAATAGAAAATAAAAGAATTACAAAAAGATGGGTGGGAGAAGGAATAACATATCTGAAAGTCTTGCATTCGATGTGTAAATAATGTCTTTGTCAATGGGGTTACATCATGGGAGCTCATTCTATGAAGAGGAAGATGTTGAATGTTTCCTATTTCAACAGTAACAATTAAACTTGTGCCAAAAAAGCTTAGGAGAGAAGGAGAATCATAAGTTGTAAACCATCATCTTGTAGCTCTTGGTAAGATCTACAACTTTAATGGAATATTTTGTGTATTTGGTGAGTTTTCGAGGATCAAAAAGAGAGAAAATAAGTGGGTTTCAAGATAGAAAGCTATTGCCGATAGTGAGAGAAAACCTCCAACTCTTAATACCTTAAATTTCTTGAAAAAGTAGTAAATAGGTTGCAAAGATTGTGAAAAAAATGGAAGAAAATGATATTAATAGTACCTAGGGGCAATTTTATAATTTTATGAAGTAAACTAATTTGAGACCATTGGATAAGCATCTCAAGTTGGATAAGGATACATGTCCATCATCTGTCAACCTCAATACACCCATGTTTTATACCTATTGGACATGAGGTATCTTGGCTAATATTTTGAAATTAACAAAGTGACGAGAGATTTTACCCTATTAGATTACAAGACAAAGTCCTTTTGGTAAAATCTATGTTGGAGGTTGTGAGTCTAAAGTTTTATGTAATGATTTTGTTGGGTAGGTCAAACTACCTTAGACAATGGGTTATCCCCTTATTTTCTCTTAGGTTTGGCATTATTCCTATAATCTTCCCCAATATCCTCATGGGCTTGGTTTCACAAATATGACAACTTACACAATGACATAGCTTTTTGGTAAGTACAAATGTATTACAAGAATAATATTTTTGGCGAGTTTTGAATGATAAGCAAACTCTATCAAAAGTTCATTGTTAAATGTTGCTAGCATTGTCGATGATTTTAGCTATGGATTGACAACTTCAACTCCCACGTGGATTGGCACTAATTTCCATCACTTAGTCGACAGGCTATGGTGAGCAAGGTTTGGCAAGTGATTTAGGTAATAGTTTACCCATCATGGACAATAATGACTTATCAAACTTTCATCAGTAGTGAATAATGACAATCTTCGTAAAACATTTATTAGTTGTGAACAGTGACACTCAGTCAATGTTGATGACTACCAAGAGGTGGCCCACCTCTTTGTCAAGCTTTGGCAAAGGAGTCAATGCTTTCTTGAATCAAGTCTATTGTTTATCATAGCAGGAGATTTTGAAGTGTATATAAGCCTATTATCTGTGTCAATGACAAGGTGCTAGTAACAAGAACTCTTTCTTCGTGATTAATAAGAGTTCTGCCAAATTGAAACACATATAAGCCCATGTCTGTATCAGTGAGGAAAGCTAGTGATAAGAACTCATTATCTATGACAAATGAGAATTCTACCAGCTTGAAACACATGCAAGTCCATTGTCTGTATTAATGACGTGGAGCTAATGACAAGAACCTTTTATTTGTCGTTAAAAGAAGCCTTGCCAAACACGTAAGCCTATTATTCGTATCGATGATAGGGAACTAGTGATAAGAACATTTTGTTTGTGGTTAATGGGAGTTTTGCCAAATTGAAAAACATGTAAGCCCATTGTCCATATTAGTGAAAGGGAGTTGTTATCGTGAAAACCCTTTATTTGTGATTAATGTGAGTTCTACCATACCGAAATATATATATAGCCATTGTCTGTATCAATGACAAGGAGCCATTATGGCGAGAACCATTTGTCTGTGATTAATGGGAGTTCTAGTAATAGTATGGCCCATTGTCCACAAATGGAGGGAGTCTAATGTTGATATCACTTTGTCAGAGGGTAGTTTTGGATGTTTTGCTTGCTATGTACTTTACTAACATGTACAAGGTGACCATTAAAGAAGGGCCCATCTTTTAATGAACTTTAGATCATGTGAAGGAGACAATGCCTTTTAAAGCATGGTTTTTGCTCATAATGGTGGAAATCGTGGTCTTTTGCCCACAATGATGGAAACTTGGTCTTTTGCCCACAATGATGGAAACCTTGGCCCTTTTGTCCATAATAGTGGAAACCTTGTTTTTCTTTTTTTCTTTTTTTTTTGTCAATGAGTTTTACCTTCTCAATTTTGCTAGTCTTGGCAGAGTGACAATAAGATATTCTTAACGACCCTTGCATTTAACTTTGACTGAAGATCTAACATGGGCAATGACATTAACTCATTTTTCTATTTATCAAAACGACTATCAATAGAATGATGTGTAATTCAACATCATGAATCAAATTTAAGGAAAGTACCATGTTGGAATATTTTAATAGCCACATGCAACTTAACTAATGAAAGGAAAAGAGTGAATTTTTCATTGTTAAAAGACAAAAAAGTGCAAAAACATAGTTCAACTAGAATTATTCAAAATTGAAAGTTTAGGGAATAAATTTTGATGTTTAGCCTTAATACTATCACAAATAAAAGGCAAAAATTGATTTTAACTTTTATTTTTCCTAACACAATTCCCAATAAACAATTTTTTTTTCCACTTTGTTTTAAAAGAAACCTTTGCCTTCAATTTTCTTGATTGCTATGAGAATCATTTGACAATTAACTATCATTACAAAATTTATCAAATTTTTATATAACGAATTTTATCTTTTTATAAATTACTTTTCTGATAAAAATTTTCTTAGTAAAATTGGTCTTTAATCAAATAGGTTGTAATTTTGATATGGTGATAGGATAGATTAGAGTGGATTATCTTAACAAAAAGCAAATGACTAAATACTTGTCAATGTCCCTTTTAAACATAACAATAAAGTCTTCTTTTCTTATTTTACCCCTATTAATAGTTACTTCATTCTTAAAAAGAATACATCCTTACTTCCCAACTTCCAAACTTTCCTTATTAATAAGGGTGCATATAAAATTTCAATGACTAATACTTGTGTTTTTATAAATTTTAATAATTTTTTCTATAAGTATACCATATAGAGGTATGTTTAGTAAAATGGACCTAAAGTGGTATTGAATATTTGTTTTAATAAGACAGAAAGATAGAATAATTTACAATTACAACTCCACAAAACATTCCCAAACAAAGCCTAAGTTGATTATGCCATCGTTTGGGAACCCTATGTTATGGTTGTGGGTTATAATGTTTGTGTCATGATAGGGAGTGCAAGAATGTCAATTTCGGAAGTGTTCCTATGGATACCATCTTTGTTGGAAGGGAGTGCCTCACCAACAACATAGGCTATTAGATACTTATTGAGTGACTAGATGAATGGTGAAAAAGGAAGGGATTTTGCACTAGTGATGGTGAGTGAAGGGCGCAAGACAATGATGACCTTTAGAGTTATAGCTTTTATGACAGATATGGTGTTAAGGGTAGTGATTGGTAGAAGGTTATTGTCACTAATGATTAAGGCTTATGTTCTAATACTGGGGCCATTGGTTTTAGAAGAGGAGGTTCTGTTTATGTTTTACTTGAGGGTTTTACATGCCACTAGCCTAACCACTTTTCAGTCCAAAGTCCACAGACCTTCAAAAGCTCAAACTCAAGTTATTAGTAGTGGTTGGTCTCAACATTTATATATGAAACTCACTCACAATTTCCTATCGATGTAGAATTTGGGGTATTATAATCCTCTCCACTTAAATGCATGATGTCCTCATTAAGACCAATCATAATCAAAACTAAGCCTACTAGGTTATAAGTATAGGATCCACCTTAAGTGATGTAAGGTCCACACTACCACCTACTATAATAGTTAGCATTGGCCTACATCTATAAAAGATGACTGTGATGCCAAGTTAAATGACTTAAACCAAAGCCACCACTAGCATAGCAACACTTCGAGCCAAGATTTATAGGCCCTCAAAAACTTAAGCTCGAGTTATTAGTAGTGGTTATTAGTCTCTACACTTATATACCAAACTCATTCACAATTCCTCATCGATGTGGGTTTTGGAGCAATTGGGATGGTGCCTTTGGTAGGATTACTAAAGGAAATGGTGTATCTTCTTCGAGCAATAGCATGGCATGGAAGGGTTAGTGTTGGACATTTGTTTACATTATTTTCTACAAAAATCTTGTGATACGAGGCCTTGATGGGCAATGGATATCTTTTGTGTGGAAAAAAGGTTGATATTTTAAAGATTAAGGAAAGGAACATTTGGGATTTCTTTTATAATGGTTGTTCACCAGATAATATATTAGTTTATTACAAAAGGAACTTCATAGTACTTTAGGACTTTTCTTGAGCTACTTATCTTGGTAATTGTTAGACTAAATCAAAAATAAAGTGTTGGTAAAACTAGGTGGGAAATGGTAGTGATAATCATTTCATGCTTTGTTTTTGGCTACTATCAAACTTGTACTCTTGATATTTGCTAATAATATTTTGTCTTCCATAAAAAAAAAAAAAAAAGGAAAAGGAAAGAACTGAGGGAAAACCTTAGCTACTCTTCTCCCTTATCCATTTGCCCATTGCATCCCTTTCTATTATCCCTTTCTTTGCCTTTTCATTTCATCCTCCATTTCCTAGCTTTTTGGTCTACATGATTAAGCTTCTTCCTTGTTCATAAGTTGATATGTGTATTTTTATTTTATTTTTTGTTTAGCTATTAGTGATGGGAATCAAGACGACAGCATATCTACCACGTCATGTGATCCATTACACACCCAAGGAGGTCCAGTCACGCGAGCTAGTGCTAAGAAGATGCGTGAAGCTTTAAATGGCCTTATTGAGCAGATCTGGGTTGAAAACAACATACAACAAGCAAATCGAAGCTTGTATGATTATCAAGGCATGATAAACATCATTCAGGTTCAAGAGAAGCTTAATTGAGATCATTTATGCTAAATTACACAGTTTGCGTCAATCTCGCAATTCTATCGCAATTTGTAACAAACTGATATTTCATGTTACTTTAGGCTACTTTTAGTGATTTTCACATTTTTTATATTATTTTGGGCTGAACATTCATTTATTTAAGGCCCAATTCGTGGTTATTATGATTAGGGCTTAGGGTGTTAGTTTCCTATTCTGATTAGAATTACTTTTCCCTATTTAAAGGGGGCTTGTAACCCTAATTGGGGGAAGCTATTGAATCTAAGATTTTGAGAGACTTTTCTCTTTGGTTCGTTTTAGAACTTTACAGAACTTATCAAGATTATTCTTGTGGCGTTCTAACCTGACTTATCATCCTCGTTCTTAATCGTTCGAGGGTGTGGCGTCAACCAACTTTATACCTCTGGTTCTTGTTGCGTCATAGACAACGGGTCAAGGTTTTTACCTTTAGTTCTTGTTGCGACATAAACAATGGGTCAAGGTCCTATCATAAACCTGATTTAGCTTTCCTGGAGTTTACAAATCCCTTGTCGTGCTGTGGGTCTCATTGTTCTCTTTGGGGTTCTCATCAATTAGTGTATTCCTAAGCCAACTTAAACACACCTTAAGATTAATCTTTTCTTGGTCCAATCAAAAGTAAGTCATCCACGTTGAGATTATTATTCATGATGAATTACAAGGGATGCGCATAGGGTATAGGTATACCCATTACCTGCAAGTATTAGAGTATGCTTTACAAGTCAACTAGGTTAGTAAAACAATCTTATTTATTTGTGATTATGCTTATTATTTATGATATTATTTATCGAACATTAACTATTAATTATTTTCTTCGTACATTAAATATCGGCAAAGTCTTTAGAATACTTACTGTATCAAAAACTAATAGTAGATTAGCAATTCTTAAATTGTCCATCAATTGTATGTGTCATTAATTTGGTAAAGCAACGATATAAAGACTATCATGTGTGATACTTTACTAAGTGGTAGGACTTCTTCTCGCGAAATCATGTACTACATGTTGGTGACTCAAAATAAGTGAGTGCACTGGACAAACTCATCATGAGAACACTACATGTTAGGTTTAAGAGGGTGTAGCGAAAGAAAAAAAATTCGAAATTTCTTAAATCATCTTTCAACCCACCTAGTATCCTTGTAAATCCATTTATGGTTAAAAAGAGTTCATGATCAATACCTTAATGATACATGCCTCATTGGCATATAAATTTAACCACTGTTCTCCAATGAAGGCATCCAAAATTTGAAGTATAGAATTCCTCTATTAATATCCACATGCATGCTCGAGGATTTAAAGAAGACTAGATCCCCAAAATGCTAGTAATTAAAAATCTAGTTGAATCTCCCTCGACTTTGGGTAGAGAAATTTTAGTGGCTTTAAATTTTATGATGAATAATTCACCATTAAGGATCCAAAATTTTCTATACCTATTTATATTAATGTAATAACTCAAATAATTTTTTGAATTTGCCAACATTACTGTAATTAAGTGAATTAAAATCTAATCATGAGCGGATATAATTTTAGATTTAATAAATTATAATTTATTCAAAATTCAAATCTAATTATTAATAGCGATCAAGCATTTTTAATTGAAGATTACTTCTTTTCTTACTAAATAATTGCAATGAACGGTAGACTCTAAATTTGCCACTCAACCCGTAATTCTTCCCTTAAAAATAGACTTGTTTTGACACAATAACCATTTCCTTGTAGATCCAGCTACCTTTTCTCCTATTATTCAATCTTGAGATTCTCAAGGTAAGCACACTCAATTTTTGTGATTTCTTGTTTCTTGTTTATTTCCATGGGTTATTACAGTAAAACACAATCTTAAAATCTCCAAATCTCTTGTTCCTCTTTCCATTAAGAATTGATCTCAAATCTTACATCTGAACCTTGAATTCCAATGAGCTTTTCATTATCTTAACCTAAGGGTTATTGAATTAAAGGTAGAAAAGGGGTTTATTTTTTGAACATGGTTGTTGTTTGCAACACCATATTGATTGGTTACTATATTATTAAAAAAAAAAGAAAAAGAAAGAAAAGGACATAGTCATAAGTTGCTAGAAAACCTTGAGTATGGCTCTTATTGCACCCCAAAGGATTAACATAATACTAATATAAATAAAATAAGAAAGCACAAAACAATGAAAGGTGAAAAGATGTTGCTACATGGGTGCTATTGTGTGGCGCTGCATCGTGCTAATACTACCGTTCTTCTGATTTGGGAGTTGGACAACAATATCAATGCCTCCAATTATAGTCACATTAGGTGTCAACACTTGTTAAAAAAAGTTAAATAAAAACAATTCAATTTAATTGGGATTAAGGGTAAATCTAAAATTTTATAATTTATTAGAATTATAGCTTATTGTGACTTAATGTATATTATAGGTTTTTGACTATTTGGTTGTTACGTCTTTAGGATCTTATCTCGTAATTATCTATTTTTCTTATTTAAGATAGTGAATTTGCAGTTATACCCTTAGTTTTGAAATATAATTTTAAAACATGATTTTCACTAGTTTTGAGATGGTGGTGGGATTAAAACCCGTTTTGCTTAATTATCATGATTAAAATTTGTTTTAATTTAAGTTTTATTTTAATTGGTTAAGCATATCTATTTATGAAAAGTTCTTGATACATAGTACTTGAAACTTAAGATACCTATTTTCGTGAAATAGGCAAGTTTACTTGAGATATACTTGCTAGCTTGTTCTTTGACAATGCCATGTTTTACTTGTTGCTCATTAGTGGGAGGTTTATAAACTATAGCACATGTCAACATATTACTTGTAGAACTTTTTCATTTTTGGCATACTTGTTATCCAACTAGTGGGAATATACACTAGTAACCTTGTTGCTCACTAGTGGAAGGTTTATAAACACCGGTCATGACTTGTAGAGGAGACATCTTGATGAGAACCCCAAAGAGAACAATGAGA